TATAGTAACTTATTGATTTTTTTTTGTTCTAACTGTATATATATATATATAAATCATAAAAAAAAATTATTTCATTTCATCCATGTGCAAAATTTTGAAAGGCTTAGCAACCTACGTCAAGCAGCAACCGAGTACAAAGGTCATAACTAGAAGAGATAATTGTTAGCTTTACTTCTTTATTTATTGTTCTATGTTTTAACAAAAATGAGTTTAAAAAGTTATTTGTAAATAGTAATAATGTATATACATATATTATGTATAATAATGGAAATGTGAGTGTATTTTACAAAATACTAGTCTACTAAATCACAGCCATGACAGGTCACTTTGTAAAAACTAAGGGTCAGTTTTATATTATTGGATATGGTAACATAAGTGCACGTGTGCCGCGTCAGTGTAACTTCTGTATTAATAGCCAGGCATGGCTGAAAGGTCAATATAAAAGTAATAAAAATATATAATGTTATGAGATTTAAGCTATTTAGTCTGAACATTTATGTTATAATTTTTTGTCATTCTAGAAGAAAAAAGGCATAATTTATATTTATTTCCTACTTTTTTTTATGGTGGTTGTGAAATCGGTCAATCTACTGAACCCGTACATAGATTTCTTAGTGAAAATAACAAATAAAATATAAATTTATTTCTTCAGAAACATTTCATAACTATCTGAACATTATAGAGATTTCACATGTGTAATTTAAAAATTTTTTTGATGCATAAAAGTATTTTTATTCTTAAAATGAAAATTACTTTGCATGTTGGATAAGCAACATGTGAAAAGAAAAAAAAAGGCATGAGAAAAGCATTGCTTAACAAACCTTAAGAACTATTAAAAATATTTGATATTTTGTGTATGAAAGCATTGTAATGTTTACTGATAAACTGCCAAATTTCGTTACCATACACTTACTAATTTAAAAGTTATAGCATGAAAACTATAACAAGTACAAAATGGTTACGAGGTCGATCCCAGGGACCGAGACCATGCTGAGAGAGTTAACAGAATTTTTTTTGGGGGGGGTGTACAGACCCCTCTTTAGATAGTTATAGAATTAATTGGGGATTACGAGTCCTCTGTGAATCATGAGGGTGGGTGCTTTTGAATCCCCCAGAGGTGCCCCAGTATTTTATGCTAGTCAACCTAACTCATCTGTTATAATGATTAAAATCTACATAAAAATGAGTTGTAATTTACTTTTATGATAACTCCCTTTGAAAGATAAACTACTGACCAAGAACTAATGTGAAAAAGTTTGAAATTAACTTGAATTTATAACAGATTTATTAACTTCCACTGATTTCTAATAAAGTTTAACTATTAATAGTTTAGATTCATAAGTTCTTGTTAAATTCACTTTTAAGGTGTTTCCATCATGCATGATTGTATATACCTTAATCATAGTGATAATTGTTAACATTTTGTATATATGTATGTAAAACAATGAAATACAATTTCCTTACAATTGAGAGTTATGATTTTTTGGTGTCTTAATTTTATTACTTTTTAAGGTAATGATATCTAAATTGTAGACTTGATGGGCAATTAATTGTATAATGCATTTTACAATTTTCTCTTTGTTTCATTCAGAGTGTGATGCTGCTTTTCGTAGTTTGTATAAATTGAAAGAACATCTTCGCTCACACACACAAGAAAGAATTATGGCTTGTCCATATTGTGGGGGAATGTTTTCTTCTCGGTCGAAGCTTCAGGATCACATCCACAGACAAGTGTCTAATCAAGGTAAAATTTATTTTAATGGTTACATTCAAGCGTGGGTTTTTCAAGCTCTTTGTTATCTTTAATTTGTATTAACACATTTCAAAAAGATTTACTCATAATTTTGATTCATAAATTATTTTGTGACACTAATTGATGTAATTGCACTCATAAGCAATTAATTAATCGATATTCACCCAGCTGTACTTGCAGTTTTTAATTTTTGTTTAAGACTATATGTAGATATATATCTATAACAAACTTTTCTTGGACATCAGGTATCTATAACAATGATCTCTAATGCGTTTAATATTTTTTCCACCTAAGGAACAATTAATTAGCACTCCAGTTGTTTTAGGTTTGAGACTTCACAAATCCATATTCATGTATCATACAAAATTCTTGGTGCTAAAATAATTAGGATCAATTTTGTTTGCCATCATTAGTTTCTTGGCTAATTATGAATACTCTGTAAAATAACCAAAACAAAAATTATAAACACTAAGAGTAACTTATTTCTTTTGGTGGGTTTGCACTTTAGAATCAATTTACAGATTTCTAATGCTAGACTTGTTACACTTTCATTTCAATTAAGCTTAAGTCTCATTTTCTTGATAAGTTGACTCGCTTTGACTCCGAGTTATTTTTGTTGTCCATCGTACCCATTAAGCTGAAATTTTTGAAAGTTATTTTTTTAGCATAATTTTAAAACTTGAGACATGATCAAACTTCTGAGGTTACATTACATAGCTCTTGAACAAGTAATTCTGTATTTTAGGCTTTTCATCATAGAAATATATTAAAGTCAGCCCTACTTAGCCAATTTTAACCTCTCTCTCTTGTTAATGAGTCATATGATAATTACAATATTTTTAAAGTGTTTTTAGGCCCTCAATTTCCTTATTCATATTAAGCCTTTAAAGCCAAAGCTGTAATCATCCTCAAATATTTTTTTTAATTTATGTACAGAATATTCTTAATGTTATTGCTTCAACTTGAAAACTATAACAATGGAAACATGAATTAATGTTTGTGTTAAATTATTCATAGTAAAGTTAGTGACTTAATGAATTCAGTTCACTGATAGAAAGTTAATTAATATTAACTTCTGATTGCAGCAATCTACCTACTTAGACCCCAGTGGCACAGCGGTATGTCTGCGGACTTATAATGCTAGAAACTGGGTTTCGATACTCGGGTGGGCAGAGCGCAGATAGCCTATTGTGTAGCTTTGTGCATAACTTAAACAAACATTTACCTACTTAGAGTGAAAGTGAGCCTGGTAATGATTACAGCTAATTAAATATACTTTTCTTATATTCCTATTTGTAAAGATGAAAATGGATTATTTAATCAGTTGTGTACTTTCACAGGTTACAAAGTTTTGGCTTTTTAAGAAAGATGAAACCAAAACTACTAAAGTTATTTCTCAGTTGAAGAAGAAAAAAATTGCAAAATTAAATGAAAACATTTTCGTACCTCTAAACATTAATGCAGAAGAATTGGAAGTTTGTTTTCATCTAGTTGTTAATTTTAGTGTTTTAGAAAATTCTGAGATATGTAAAAATATAGATTTTCATATAAGGTTTGTGGTTTATAATGTTTTGTTTGTTAATAACTTTCTCCATTTAAACTATTCTAAGTAATTATTGCTTATAAATTTGCTGTAAAAACATAACATACAAACAACAACAAGGATCCATTTAGTCCTTCAAGGCTGTCCTTGCATCCAACCCCCTGAGAAAAAGAAAAATTTAAACCCACTCTTTGATTTTCTGAAATTCTTTGCCTCTCCTCATTAAACTGGTGGCTTCCACCATTGCCAAAGGCAACTCCTAACCTAATTACCTTGTTAGAATCAGTAATAAACTATGTTGCTTCTTGTCATACGCATTATATCTTCTATTTGAATTATTAATCAGTGAAATTGCAATATGGTGTGTAACCTTTCCTTGATGAAGACAAACTATTTAAATTGATGTTTATAGATATATCATTAGAAACACATTTATATTGTAAGTATCAACATGAATTTAAAAATTTATGAAGCATCAGTTTGCCCTTTTCTCGGCTCCTGATCCATCTGGTTTATTGTACGTTGTACCCCACCTTTTGATGAGGATTGGGAATTGTTTGCCCATAATCTGTTGAACGTGCTTGACCTATATGGTTGCCACCTGGGTATAAACATTCTTGGCTTCTTGCAACTCGAAACTAGTTGGGACTAAGGTCATTACAGAGAAGAAGAAGAAGAAACGGTGATCATCAATAGCATCTTCTAATGAAACCTTGATCAATCAGGCTTCAGTTGATGAAAAAACAACAAGAATTCTGTGTTTCATCTCATATTCACTTCTAGCTGTATTAGTGGTAATATAGTACTAATTGAAGACTGTAGAGAAAATCTTGTCATTCTACATTCATTAAACTCTCTATGCCTTATTTTTTAAACTATATACTTGAAGGACTTTTCATGTATTTCCCTTTACTTTTTTTTTTCTATGAGATAATTGTTTAATTGTTAAAAGCTATGTCAATAACTGACTTGTTTATTATCTTACCAAGGATGTAGTTGCTTGGAGTGTATATTAGGTTTTAAATCCATATATTTATAGTCTTGGAAACACCATTGGACTTATGCCAACTCCAGTAAACCATAAAGAAATCATGAGAGAATATTTCATAAAAACACTACTAAAGGTTTTAAAGCATTTCATTAGGTACAGTTGTGTGCCTTATTTAAACGAGCTTTTTCTAACCTAATTGAAAAATTACAAAATGACAGATGATATGTATGTTTGTACTGTTACTTTATTTACCATAAGAAGCCTACGTTTATATGGGTATTTGAAGAATAAGTAACATTAATGTTGGCTACAGTTTGCATTTGAGGAAACTGAAATTTCTCAATTGAAACTTTAAATTTGTATGTCTTCTTGTAACAGTTGTATTTGTTTTGCATACAGTATAATTTTGGTGAACCAAAATTCCACAAGTTTATGTGCAAACAGTACATAGTGAATGGCTGTCATTTGCATTTTTTTAATCTCCAACCAGCACCATGTAAATATTTTACTCGTTCTCTGCCAAAGGAGGGTGTTAATTCTCTATTTTGGAATTTTAATGTCAACACCACTCTATATTAGCTGTACTGAATGACATATTAAAGAATAAAACAATCATCCCTTGTATACCTACATCTACCTGCAACAAAAACTCAGAATGTGAAAAGCTAAAGTTTTCTAAAGTGATAACTGACACAGTTTCACTGCTTTAAGCTTAAGTTAGTCATCTTGAACATTTTTGTAAAACTACTAAACTCAATTATTTGTGGCAACTGAAGCAATAAAGTGTACTAATAAATGTGCACACTACTTTATTGAAGTTTCGTGTCCCCATGTTCAGCTGTCTTGTATCCTATAAATAAAACCTAAATCAAACTATACTAAAAGTGATTGAGTTTTATTATTAGAGTGCATTAATTTAGAAACTTGTTAAGCTTTACAGCTATGGGAAATATATATTAATTACTAAGCTTATCAAAGTTTTACTAATATGATAATTTATATATTTTATTTACTATGAGAGTTTTTGTTATAGGCAGAAATGATTTTTCAAGAGTTATGTGTTTAATGTAAATGTAAGATTACTAAACCATGCTTCTCCTATGTATTACTATTACTGTTCATTTATTGGTAGTGCTAAATGTGTAATTGTTTCATAAACTTGTAGATGCTCCAGAAGAAGAGGTAGAAGAGTGTGGATATTGTCAAAAAAAATTTTCCTCTGTTCGTCTTTTGAGAGATCATATGCGACACCATGGTAGTTTCTTTTCTTCTGTATTTCAGTAAAATAATGTACTTTGTTATCAACTTTTATCAATATTTTAATTATAAACATTTTGTTTGATAAAAGTATTTTAAGTTTTTACTAAGCTTTAATAACAGTGCTATAAAACAATAGTTGCAAAATGATTTATTAAATATTTTATAGCCTAAAGTATGAAGTCTGTGTTATTCCTAGTCAGCTGGACATTTAGTGATATTTTGTAATTGATTAATTGTTAGGCTTATTAATATATTACATTCAACTAATCAATTATTCTCACAGGAAACTTAGATAGTTAGAATAATTGAAAATGGTAGTAATTAGAAACACCAATTTTGATTAGTTTAATGATTTTGTGAGTTGTTACACTAATTAAGCTGAACAAACTTGAATAGTTGAGATAATTGAAAACAACTAATTTTGATTAGTTCATTATTTTTCTGACATTAATTGTAATTTACATGTGATTTTGCATGATGCTAATCATTGTAATTGGTGCTAATAGATAACTGAGTTAATTGCCCACCTCTAAGTACCGTTGTAAAAAAATTGTTGTTTTGTAATTTGTTAATGTACTACCACAACATTAAATCCACTCAAAGATATTGCTTTAATATACACTTGAGTGAATGCCAAGATTGTAGCTCTAGTGACCTTGCAGGATTCTTTAAATTATCTAATAACTTCCATCACTTGTACAGCAGTAGGGTAGGAAAACTATATTGATAATTTATCAAATATGGTATATATATATATATAATGCCTTGGGCTAGCAAAGCATGATTTGCTGATCAATAGTCTTTGAGTTTACATGTTCTGTGTGTTGCATGTTCAGGCAACTGATGAGCTCTGGCATTGAGGGAAAAGCCTCATCATGCAAAGTGTGCATTTGAGATGTCATGTTCTTACTGAAAACCCATATAGAGTCAATAAAGAGAGATTTGTTTAAAATCATTTACACTCACTGTAATTTAATGTCACATAAACAACTGTACTATATATCACACTTAGCTGGCATAAGCCATTATATACCATAATATCTCATTAATGTTTGACATAAATGGTATATCAATTGAGGCTTTGTATGCTGAAATCATAGCTAACTTGTCCCAAGTACTAAGCAAAAGGCCTCTTTGGCAGAGATATACAGCATACAAAGCATGTAGCTAAGATGCTATTGTGTTTATTATCATTAGAAATCCATAGTGTAGGGCCAGTAATGAAATGTTTATTGCTAATTTTTTACTGAAATATGTTTTAAATTTAAATGATAGTTACTAACCCTACGTGCATGGGGATAGTCCATTGGAATGATTCTATACAGGATAATTAATGTGTAATATACTTTTTAAGTTATCTAGTGTATGTTAATGACATTTTGTAAATGTTTAGTTAGCATTGCAAGTATGTTATAGATAAAAAAATTGGAATTTTTAATGAATTATTTCTGCTAAAAATTTGTCTGTGAAATAACTGAATCAGAATGACTCAGTAAATCCACTAATCTAAATAAAAGATGATTTTCATGTTAAGAATAAAAATACTTTTTTGCATCTTTCAGTGTTCATATTTTATTTACATAACTTCTAGAACCTCCTAGATGAATATAAAATGCTTTTTTCAGTAAAACTATATTTTATCTGTTATTTTCTCTATCCTAACACTAACGGTATCTATGTAGGCTAGGTCAATTTGACCACAAAATAATAAAAAATATGAAATATATCTAATTTACGATTTTTTTTTTCTACAATGACTGCGTACTGTAACAGAAAATTACAATTATTTATGCTAACATCTTCAGCTCACCGACCTTTTCACAACTTCTTTCAATAAAGTTTGTTTTATTCCTCTTTACTCCATGTCTGACTAATAAAGTAGCATAACAAAGAAATAAATCACCCAGTGAAAGCATAGTGCAAGTTAGGGTAAACAAAGTATTGAATTACATCTCACATGAGCATCTTGCATGTATTCTTTGGGGAGGAATTTTTTTTTTCCTTCAAGTTTTCTTATCTAATTTTTACATTTTAGTTATTATTATTATTATAACAATAAATTAAAAAATACATAAAAAACAAGAAATTTAAATACTTATGTTTGAAGCCTTGTACTTTTTTGAATTCAAAGCTCGATAAACATTAATCTTATTTTTTGATAGGGTTGTTTTAGTACTTTAGTATGCAGTTTAGAACACACAAAGAACACAATGTCCTATAATTATTGCAATTTAAGTGGCTTTTAAATTAAACTGGAAGTGGGTTTAAATAATTCTGTTGGTTGTTCAAAGTGACTCGGTGATAGCAATAAATGAAACTATAGGGCGAATAATTCGTAAACTTTTGCCTGAATGAGCTAGCTTTTAAGGAACTCAGTAAATTAAAATCTCTTTATAAACAATCCCATAGCAAATTTCAATGATAATTATTGACATTTTTTGAAAGACAGGATGTGATAAGAGGGTGTAACATGTGGGTTTGAATTTCTGGTTTATATCTGAATAAAGCAAGAATATTTAGGCTATGATTTTAGATTATGCCTTAGCAATATATATATTATATGTATGTAATTTAGGTTAAACTCAGAAGTCCATACAAAAGTAGAAAGCATATCTAAAATGAGCAATTAGGAGTGAAAAAGTACCATGTGAAACAGAGAAGTAAAGATTGGGAAGTTATTTAAATATTTCCATTTGAAATTAAGAAATAAAAAAGCTAATATAAAATTCTGAGTGTAACTGTAAAATGTCACAACATGGGTTAATGCTCTTTTTTATTAGTTTATTCAGTTTGGGATTATTTTTTTGTCAAAGTTATAGGCCATCTGTAACCACTCTGTCAAAAAATAAACTTCTCTTACATGCTTTTATAATATATCTACCTCACAATTAACTTTGGAAACATATCTTTGATTTTATGCCTCACATTTTGTCACGAGCTTGCTTAATCCTTTGTTTCCTGCAAATGCTCAGATTTTGTTTGACAGAAAATAGACAATAATTAAAACTTTTTACACTAGAAATTTCTTGGCAGAAGATTATATTGCAATTATTCATTTTAAGAGTATGTAAGTTGGGTCAACTGTTAATATCATATGTGAAATAGTTAAAGAAATTCAGCAGTAGGTGACAGCATTAATTGCATTATTATGGTGTTTTTGTTTACATTTTTTTCTATAATGTTTATAAGTTATTAAAGACTCTGTGACCAACAAGCAATTTGGTACATAAATGACCTAAAAAGTGTATTTAAAAAGCCAATGGAGTACATGAGCTCCATTGGTAATTCTGTGGACAAAATATGGCTTTAATGTAGTAATTCATGAATGAGATTTCAGTAATCTATGCACATAGCTAGACTGTGAGACTTATTTCACACAACAAAGGTTATGATGGCTTTGTAGATGTCACAATATCAAGTTCACACAGTAATAAATATAAAATATTAGGTAAGTATAAGCTTTGTTTTTCTCATTTTAATCTTTTATGTAGGATTAATATTTTCTATCAGTTTCTATAGAAGAAATCATTAAGTCATCACATGTATATTTGACACCTGATCGATCAGTGCAATAAAATTTCCCATAACTACAGTAAATTCTCCAGTTAAGAACAGTACTTTATTGATTTAACAGGTCATTAAAGTACATTTATCCATTTATCTTTAGATACTATAAAGAATATGTAGACAGTTTTCATTTTGCCACAGGCTATTCAGTAATCATTAAAAGACTTCTTTTCTTGAATAATAAAAAATAGTAAATTTAATAATGGGTTGAAATGAATATGTTAAATTTGATAGTTAACCAGTACAAGTGCCCTTTGTGTGACATGACCTGCCCAACACCATCAAGCTTACAAGGTCACATCATTTACAGACATTCAGAAGAGCGTCCATTTTCTTGTCAGTACTGTGATTCCAGGTGAGTGGTAGTTGTGCAATTAATTTTATTTGGTAAGAAAATGTTAATAAATCTTCTGGGCTGGGCATGGACTCTAGATCTGAGGATCTGTAGTATGCATCCTATTGCCATGACAGAAACAAACTCCACATTTTGGGGTAGCAGGTGTGTTGTAAGGATTATGATCAAGTCCCTCTATTCGACTGAAGTAGTTCTAGAGTAGGTGGTGGGTGTTGTTGATTATATACTGCCTTCCATTTAGTCTGTCAGTTTAAAATTAGGGGTTTCTAGCACATATAGTCCTTGTGTAGCTTTGCATGAGCATCTGAAACAAGCAATAACTCCTCCAATGTAATAAAGCCTGTTTTTATTTTTTTTATTAGGATCACTGATTACATTTTCCTTTTTTTTTCTTAATGTTCAATGTATTTGTAATAGTTTTATGAATGTAGGGTTGGCTTTCCCTATTAACAGCATGATGTATTGAAATATGTGTTAGTATAATAATTTATTTGAAGTCTTTAGAAATGTTTTTCTTCAAAACAGAAACCCATGTGTAAATATTATCCTTTTCAAACTAATTTAAAAATTATACTCGATCTGCTTACACACTGTTTAGTCATCTATTATAGATAATAACCCTTCCTTTGTCAGCTTGTTTGATTAAAAATGTAAAATTACTGATCGATTGGCCCCAAGATACTTTAAATGTCCATTAGATCTGTTAAATTACATGATTATGTTTTTCATATTTTTAGTAACTGGTACTTATTCAAAAGCTAAAAAAGATTTTTAACTATAGAATTGCCTCTCACTAATAGTTGCTGTGACATGTAAAGTCAAAGGTAGCCAGTTACATACTTGTGATCACAACTTGACTCGTATAACTTATTGCATCTTTCAGAAATTAATGGTTTATACCTATAATATTTGGATGTTAGTGTTTTTGTTTATTAATTAAATGCCTTCTATTTATCTGAAAAATTAGTTTGCATTGAAATGATAATAGGGTGCGCTTGTTGCATATTTCATACTTTTATTAATCAAAGTACTAAAAGGCTTCATGAAAAAAATTGTTAAACCTTAAATTTTACACTTACAAAGTTTAAATAGTGTGTCATGAAATTGTTCCTGGAACACTTATATAGTTTAATTCTACTGATCATATCTAAGATAAAAAGAAGCTAATTGTTGAACTCTGAATGATATGAATTACCTGAACCTTATGATGATAAGAACATGTTCATCAGTATTTGTAAACTACATTTAAAATTAGCTTCACCTTTAAAAAAGAAAACAACTAAATGTTTATTTTCTATCACTGAAACAAATTCTAGATAATTCCATTATTTGTAAACTTTATTGCCACTTTTTGATTTTACAATTTGCAGCTTTATAATGATTTGACAGAAATATTGATTTTTTTAATTTAAAAATGAAGTAATTCCAGCTTACTATATTTGAAAAATGTTTTAGAAGTTTTGTCAGTTATAACAATAAAATCTGTTTTGGATAAAATGGATGAATAGTTAAAACCTGTACATTTCATGGTTTTAACTTTTTACTGTATTTTTCCAAAATAAACATAGTGTATGTTTATATAAATAATGTTAAATTATGTAATAAAATATGTCATGAATTTGTTTTAATAGGTGTAAAAGAATATATGACCTACGCAAACATATGCAAGTCCACAATCCTAATGCAGTTTATGAATGTCCTGCAATGGATTGTGATTATTCTACCCGTTCTAATACTTGTTTGAATAACCACATGCGTCATGAACATGAGGTAAATTTTTCATTATCACATTTTTGTTTCTTCATGTTGATATGACAAATGTATAAACTTAGTTCCTACGTCGATCAACAATTACGTGTATTTAATCCACTGTTAGTGTTTTTTCTATGAATATCACAGAAAAATATCAAATAAGTAATTTATTTTGACCTGTGGTCAGATATAACACATTTTATGAAATGTTTTCAACCTATTGTGCTTACTTGCACTGTTTCCCACATCTGAGCAATATTGTGTGGAACATGTTTTTGAATATAAAAGTCATACATAATTATTTGCAAAGTTAGAAAATGTTGAAATTGATGATCGAAGAACTCTTGGAACATTTACGGTCATCAGTGTATAGTTTATTGCCATGCAAATTTTTTATTGTTCTAGAAGCTGATCCTTGTAGAGTGTATTTCTTCGCAAATGCACATCTTGGAATGCACACACTAAAAAAAAAAAAAACATGAGTTGTAAAATACAAGCAAAAGTACCCATCCCCAGTGACAGGAAACGTTTAAGTTAATCTATCAATTTAACTCATTTCATGGACTTTAAGAAGGTTAATTGT